GTCAATGCTAGCACTGGAACTAGTCAAGAGTCAAATGAGTCAATTCTGTCAACTCTTGAAGGCTAGTTGCAGAGATAATGGGGCCTGGCCTCTAACACCAGAAAAACTTTATTGTAATGGGGATTTCATATTTTGCTATCCCAGTCAATAATACAATAACACGTGAAAAAGTTATTCTACATATTATTGCATTCTTGATTAGGGGATAGCAAAAAGTGATATCATCGTTCTATGAGAGTGTCTCTCCTCTCATACCTACATTACCAAAATCTAAATAAATAATTACAACTACCATTTTATAAATAATAAAAAAATAAAAAAGGACAAAAAAGATACGGAATGCAAAAAAACTATAATGAAGAAGTCAGAATTATGGTAATGTATGTGGCAACTATAATGAAGAAGTCAGAATTATGAAGAGTGTAATGAAAACCAAGGATTTCCATGTTTTAGAAGGAAAGAAGCCCAAGACTTTGACGTTGAAAACAAAAGCACAAAGAAATTGAAATGGTAACATCCCGACCCAAAATAAAAGGAATGGTCCATGTTGGGTGTTCTCGACACGCTGCAAGATGAAATTAACATTGAAAACAAAGGACCATAGAAATTGAAATGGTCCATGTTCAAAAAATAAATATGTAAGATCACACATCGACCAATGGAGAGGGGTGATGTGCCTTATATGTGCACACCCGAATTCATCTAGCACGAGGCCTTTTGGGAGCTCACTGGCTTCGGAGTCATAGGAACTCCGAAGTTAAGCGAGTTGGGGGCTAAAGCAATCCCAAGATGGGTGACCCACTGGAAAGTTGGTTGTGAGCTCCCAGAAACAAAACCGTGAGGGCCAGAGAGGGGGGGCCCAAAACAAACAATATCGTGCTACGGCGGAGCCGATCCTGGGATGTGACAATTTGGTATCAGAGCGACTCTGCCGTGTGGTGCGAGTGTGCCGACGAGCACGTCGGGCCCTTAAGGGGAGTGGATTGTAAGATCCCACATCGACCAACGGAGAGGGGTGATGTGTCTTATATGTGCACACCCGCATCCATCTAGCACGAGGCCTTCTGGTAGCTCACTGGCTTCGGAGTCATAGGAACTCCGAAGTTAAGCGAGTTGGGGGCTAGAGCAATCCCAAGATAGGTGACCCACTGGGAAGTTAGTCGTGAGCTCCCAAAAACAAAACCGTGAGGGCCAGAGAGGGGGGCCCGAAGCGGACAATATCATGCTACGACGGAGCCGATCCCGGGATGTGACAAAATATCAAGAAATGGTCCATGTTAGGTGTTATCGACACGTTGCAAGATGAAATCAATTGAAAAAACACCTAACTGGACCATACCAGTGTTTGTGTCGTAAGATAATTTTCACAGCATTTCTGCTGATACATAGAAATGCCTAATACTTCACCTCTTACCATCCATTTTAAGATATCTAGTCTAAGGAAAAAAAAAACCTATACAGATGACAAATACATACAAAATAATTGAGATATTAATCAATCTTCAAAGTAACAGCCCCACAGGTCCACCTAAAAACTATTCTAGAAAATAAGTTGTAGGCTTCATCGAACCATTTGACGCTTCATCAAACCATTTGACACTTCATTGATGGGCAGCCATATTCCATACGTTGTCTTTAATGTGCGACGTTACTAACAATGTGACAAAAGCGTAACGGTTTATTCCGTTTGATTTTAATATCCATATCAATTTGCCGTATATTTTGTTGAGCGGATAATAATGAACCAAACAGGTGGATGACCAATAAAATTATTAAGAAACTAAAATTATATAAAAGCTATTTCTTTGAAAAAATGAGAGAGATAAAAAAAAATAAACAAATCCATGCAATGCAAGTATCTGCTGTGAATATTTCCAAAGTGGGAAAGTACAGCAATGATCTTCATAGAAAATTATGAAAATTTGATACAATGATCTTCAATGTCTTAGTTTCTTCTCTACTTTGCCTTGCACTAAAACTCATTCGGAAAGTCGATTTTCCTTCAAAAACCTTCTAATAATGCAGAAAAACTGAAAATAAGGAAAGTAAAGTAATAAGGCTCTTTTTAATCAACTTTCTCGACACGCTGCAAGATGAAATTAACATTGAAAACAAAAGCCCAAAGAAATTGAAATGGTCCATGTTCAAAAAATAAATATCAAGAAATTGTCCATGTTAGGTGTACTCGACACGCTGGAAGATGAAATTAACATTGAAAACAAAAGCTCAAAGAAATTGAAATGGTCCATGTTCAAAAAATAAACATCAAGAAATAGTCCATATTAGATGTTCTCGACACGCTGTAAGATGAAATTGACATCGAAAACAAAAGTCCATAAAGCCTCTGCCTTTTTGGGTAATGACCCAATGTCAAATAATTTTGTTGCACAACAATTGGTCAAAGAATATTATTGCATAGAAATTTGTTGATCTAATCTTAGATCTGAAATATTGACGCGATCATGGTCTAAAAGCCAGCGTTGGGAGGACTTCAAGCCTTTGGGTGGGCATCCCCATCACAGAGCATTCACAGGGGTAGAACTAGCATATGGGCTAGAGTGGGCTCTAGCCCAAGGACGTTTTTTTTTATAAAAAAAAAAAATTAGATGTGGTTGTGCTTAATTTATGAGGGCCAGCGTGGGTTACGTGGCCAATGCATTGGACCATTGGTGGCTGGCTGCTATTGTCTTTTTATTATTTTATTATTATTTTAAAGTTGTGTGGTCTATTTCCTATACAATAAAGTATTCTAGTTTCCCATTGAATAAAGTATCCTAGTTTGATATGATGAAGTATCCTATTCCTAGGCTAGTTTGTCCTACGCAACTTTATAAGTATCTTAGTCAGTCTAATAAAAAAAGAAGAAGATGATATTCATATTTATGAAACTTAGCCCTAGCCCTAGCAGTCCCAAAAGAATATTTGCAGCGTTTTGTATTCTGTGCTACCAAAGTCGAGTTCATCGTCAACAAGCGTAATAAAGGTATCTAACTCTCCACAATCTTGAATTATTATTATTTTTTCATTGATTTGTTTAGTATAAAGTAAATTGTTCTGTTTTTGATATGTGTTATTAGATTATAATGTCACATCAGAACCAAGCAAGTAAAAGAGCAAAAACTATTGATTCATTCTTCAAGAAAAAAAATGATGGTGATAAATTAGACAATGACAAGGCTTCTACATTCAATGATAAGGCTTCACCATCAATTGAGTCACCTCATCACACATCTCCCCTAGTTGAACCTAACCAGTTTGATATTGCTTTTTTGGAACGAGACCCTGGGAAACGTATTCAAATATCTGAATACCCTATTAATCAACATGATGAGGTTCGACGTGCTTATATCAAAGTTGGCCCTTACCAACCAAAATTATCAGAATATCCAAGGTCTCAGTTTGGGTCGCAATATCGTCGATTTCAATATTCTTGGTTCTCTCAATTTCCATGGTTAGAATATTCCCCTTCAGAAGATAAAGTCTATTGTTTTCCTTGTTTTATTTTTGGTAATGGTCGTCCTGCATTAACTACTGAGGGTTTTAACAATTGGAAAAGAGTTAATGATGGAAAGAATTGTGTATTTTTGACTCATGTTGGAGGTCCATCTTCATCGCATAATACTTGTGAAGGATGTATGGAGGATTTGATGAACCCATCTCAACATGTCGACAAAGTTATTAATCGACAATCAAAGGAAGACATTTTGAAAAACCGGTTACGGCTCAAGACAACGATAGAGTGTGTTCGATGGCTTACATATCAGGCATGTGCTTTTAGGGGTCATGATGAATCTTTGGATTCTAAAAATCGTGGAAATTTTATTGAAATGGTCAAGCATACAGCAAAGTTTAATGATGAGGTGGCTGGAGTTGTTTTAGAGAATGCCCCAGGAAATGCAAAATATACCTCACCCAAGATTCAAAAGGAGATTTTAAATATTCTTGCAAACAAAGTGAGAAAAAAAATTCGTGAAGAAGTTGGGCATGCTGCTTTTTGTATCCTTGTTGATGAATCACAAGATACGTCAAATAGAGAGCAAATGGCTATTGTTTTAAGATTTGTTGATAATGATGGTTTTCTACGTGAACGTTTTTTTGACATTGTGTGGGTTGAAGACACTACTGCGTCAACACTTCAAAAAGAGATCAAGAAAGTACTTGATCTCCATGAATTATGTATTGACAAGATGAGAGGTCAAGGATATGATGGTGCTAGTAATATGCGGGGTGCATGGAATGGGCTACAAGCATTATTTCTTAGAGATTGCCCATATGCATATTATGTACACTGTTTTGCTCATCAACTACAGTTAGCATTAGTTTCAGCATCAAAAGAAGTAGCTACAATTTGGTTATTCTTTTCATCATTGAATTCAATTGTCAATGTCATTAGGGCTTCTCCAAAACGTCATACTGAGTTACAAGTTGCTCAATCAATGAATATTGTAGAGCTGTTGATTGCTGGTGAACGAGAGACTGGTAGAGGAGCTAATCAAATTGGTACCTTGCATCGACCTGGAGCTACTCGGTGGAGTTCTCATTACGATTCTGTTTGTGACTTAATAGAAATGTATGATGCAGTTTGTACGGTTCTTGAGAATATAAAAGAGGATGGATCCACAGGCTCTTTACGTGGGGAAGCTACTGGTGGATACAATGCGATTAGGCAATTTGAATTTGTAT